TCTCTCTGTGAAGCCCCCTCCATCCCCTCAGTCCCCAGTGCCGTCAGTGGTGAAGCAGATAGTTAGCCAGTTCCCACCTCCTCCCACACCACCTGCCACTGAGCCTCAGCCTCTGAAACCCCTTCCACTGAGCCTGGCTCCACAGTCGCCTCCAGCAGTGAAGGCAAAGCCCAAATGGCAGCCCACTTCTGCTCCCTCACCAGATTTCCCCCCTCCTCCACCAGAGAGCAGCTTAGTGTTTCCTCCTCCACCTCCTTCCCCAGCTTCCTCTGCAGGTTCTCCCTCCACTGATAAATCAGGGTCTCCAGTCAAAAAGACCAGCAAGACATCAAGCCCCGGAGGCAAGAAACCACCTCCAACACCTCAGCGAAACTCCAGCATCAAGTCCACCAGCTCCACTGAGTACCATGAGTCCAAGAGACCTTCAGTGGACCGCCTTGTCAGCAAATTTGCACACCCACTAGAGCCGTCAGGGTCTCCTTCCAAGGAGTCATCGCCTCCTGCAGCCCCTCCAAAGCCAGGAAAGCTCAACCTTTCTGGGGTGAGCCTGCCCATTGTCCTTCCACAAGGAGGGATCCCAGCCAAGGCTTCTGCTCCGGGTGTGTCTGGGAACCAACCTGTGGTTGAATTCCCTTCACCGCCGTCTGATTCAGACTTTCCACCACCACCACCTGAAATAGATCTCCCTCTCCCACCAGTTGAGATTCCATCCGTGTTTTCAGGCAGCACCTCCCCAAAAGTCGCGGTTGTCAATCCCCAGCCTCAGGCATGGTCAAAACCATCTGTGAAGAAAGCCCCACCACCCACACGTCCCAAGCGGAATGACAGTACTCGACTGACGCAGGTGGAGATTGCAGAGCCACCAGGGTCGGCTGGCCCTCAAGTGCCCACTTCACCCAAGTCCAGCCTTAGCGTTCAGCCGGGATTCCTGGCAGACCTCAACCGGACGCTGCAGCGGAAATCCATCACCCGGCACGGCTCCCTCTCCTCCGCGCGGATGTCCAGAACAGAGCCCACAGCCACCATGGACGACATGGCCCTGCCTCCGCCTCCGCCAGAGCTGCTGGCTGACCAGCAGAAGACAAGCAGCTTTGGGGGCAGTCATATATCTGGCTATGCAACGTTACGGAGGGGGCCACCCCCCGCACCTCCCAAAAGGGATCAGAACACCAAGCTGTCGCGGGACTGGTAGTCAGTCCCCAGGAGCAAGTGCTCTCCGTGACTTGTGGGGTGCTCCGTGATCGGCCAACCTGTGATCTTGCACATGTGGAGAGAATGTGGGGACGTGGATGATTGACAGCCCCATCAAAAGAGGTGATCTCAAACTGTAGTAGCTAAAGCTAAATGTAGAGACATTGCCCTTTCATGGCTAGGCCAAAAAAGTTGGGGTCTTGAGAGTGTTGATATTTTATTGGGAAAGGTGGGTAGAGAGGCATTGACCTATCCTTTCAATTTATTTTACCCTTCATATGGATTGGACCAAAACCCCATTTTCTTACTTTTTCTGCATTTAGGGGAGGGGGGGGATAATTTTTTGTAGTGTCTGTCCATGTGAGACATGTTTGTGCATGTATTATAAGTGTAGGTATATAATATATTGTGATATATTTCGTCGCAATTATAGAAGAGAACCAGAATGTTTTTGTAGAACCGTATTTATTGTTTCAGTCACTATATTATCTGGAATCTGACTCTGTAACTAGTCAAATCTTATCACAAAGATGAAAAAACAAAACAAAACAAACAACCAATGAAACCATAAACCTCTTGGCAGTTTGTGGTGGGTATTTGGTGCAGAGCTGAGGTGTTCTGCTAGTGACTACATTGTCCACTGATTGAAAAGTACAGTTGCAACATACTAAAACATTCTGGTCATAATACTACTGAAAATGAGTATGTTCTGAGGAAGAAAATAGATTTTATATATAGTGGGCTGGAGTGAAATATATTTATACTATAAAAAGCCTCCCCCTCCCTTCCAAATAGTTTAAAAATATACACTGCTACAAATTATTTCAAAGTTATTTATCCATGCAGTAAGTAGGATAAATATATATTATTCCAATCCATTATGCATTCTAACTTCATAGTAGGCTTGATCATTTGTTTCTGTGGCTGAAGATGAATATATTTGTGCTAACCCCTTCTGAAAGCTGCCAGGACTCCTGCAATTGATGCCGACTCACAGGGCTGACCCACGCCGATACATCAGTTGTACGTGTAATCCTTCCCTGAATGAACAGGTAGGTTTCTGTACAAAGCGTTATGTTCTCACACAAGCATACAGACTCCCCTTGTCTGTGCCTGATAAGATGCATTATCTTTATAAAAACAACTGTCTGGAAACATTTAAAGAAAGTATTGTTTGTAATTCATTAGAAACTGTCAGGAAACTTTCCCATCCACAAAGAGAGGAGGGAGTGGTATTTTCAGGCCAAGCACAGTGGGAATTCTCTCTCTTTTCTTTGACCCGCCAGAGACTGACCAATGCATATAACTGTTAATCACAAATTTGCACTTCTAGCAGTCAAGGGAGAAGACTGGAAAAAACCCCAACCTTGAGAGGCAATAACATTTGCTAATAATTTAATTTAAAGGTCCCATATAAGTAGGAAATAGACTGTCGTATTTGCTTTGGGTTTTTTTGTTTGCCACCGATTCACAGTCAATCACCAGGTCAAGTACTAGAGTCCTTTTTCTTGTACTTCAGTATCTTGACTGTACAGTCTTACCCATGTATTTGGACGTTGCGATAAGGTAGCGTAGTTACCGTAAGTGGTCTTACGTGTCATGCGTGTTCATTACAGCGTAGTGGTACACAACCTGTATAAAGTAACTGAAATACTTGGACTCTACCTACCCCATCTTCAGTGGTTACAGCTTCCCTTATCACCATGGGGATACTGTTCAGGCTTAGATGGCAAATGATTTTACTGTTTGTTTACCCTTTCTCCAAAAGAAAATTTTAAATAGTCTCCTTCCCCCAAAGAATGAAAGGAAGGAGGTAGCTCAACGTCACAGTATCCTCAAGTGTGTAAAAAAGATGTAAACTAATCTCTCATTAGAGTAATTCAGGCTGATAAGATTTAAGAAATATTGCCCCCATTCCCTTTTTTTTTATAAAGTGTTTTTTAAAAAATGCAAATAATAAAATAAATGTATTTGTGAATAATTTATTAATAGGAAAAAAGCTTTGCTAATTAGAGGGGGGAAATGATACATCTCTAACTATATTGTTTTAAATAAGTGCATCATAAAAAGAGAGAAATTAATGGTGCTGTCTCTGATGACCTGTTTCATAAGATTTTTTTAAAATCTGTTTCAGCACCTCTGGAAATTGTTTTAATATTTCAGACTGGTTTTTTTGAGCAATAAGAGTATATACCATTGTGTGCATTTTTAAAGCACTGCTATAGAAAGGCACTTTTTTGTATCTTTCAAATTGTTCACAAAGTTTTGTTTCTACTATTTTTGTGCTTATAAAGTGTCCTTAAAAGCATTTGCATTGTTGATTTTAAGCATGCTCAGTGTGGCTGGCGAATAACTTCACAGGAAGGTTGTTAAGCTATGCTGCAATTCATGGGTGCTCTAATCTTCAACACTGGTCCTTCTGCTGCTTTGTACTGTACGCAGCTCCCGGGGCTCACACCCACCAGTGGAGCAAAAGGTGTGCAGATACAGTCGTAACTCCCCAGCTGTTACTGATGCTTGGTAAGTGGGCACGTTCTCTTACTCCCCGGCAGGATGCATCTGGGCTCATGCAGCGTGTGCTCAGATGAGAGCAGTCAGGCAATTCTGCTTCCCCCGTCTGTTTTTCTTCTCCACCCAAGACAGCTCCACTGGTGCATGTTGCAGCCCGTTTCCTTTTGTTCATTCAGTGTGGGTACCTCTGGGCTTTCAGCTCGGCAGAGCAACGTTTTGAGTGTAAGTTTGTTCTTCAGAAGCATTTGAGCTTTCTTCTCATTTTTCTGTGCCCAAGTTCATTTACCCAGTATCTCTCCCTAGACAGTGAAACGATGCTTACTACTGCAGGCTGCTACACAGCTTGTTGGGAGACAGGAGTTTAACTCTTAGGTTTGCAGCAAAAAGAATGAGCGTCAGCGTAGGTGGCACCCCGTGCTCCTTCTTGTTGCAACTTACTTTCTAGGCCAGTAGTGATACAGAAATCTAGTGAGTGGCTGCAGCTTGCTTTTTCAGCTGAGCGCTGAAATTTGGCTGCAGTGGTTCAGACAGCCTAGTTGCCTTTTCAGCTTATGAGACCCCTCTTTGTAACTTGCTTTTCCAGTGTATTTACTGGTTTTGTGACAGTAAATATTTATGCCTTATTTGCAAGTAAGTTATTTTTTGCCATGTGCACTGGTCTCATAATTGCACCATTATATTTATTTAAATCAGAAAACAAAGGGGCCAGATCTCAGACGTACAGCAAGAATCTTCCTGCTACAAACATGGGCTGTAATCCTTCTGGCACTATGAAAATGAGTATGTGAGAGTTGAGCTTTCATACTCTGGACACAAAGATAGCAGATGCTTTGATGCTAAAATACTAAGTATGGCTGTAGTTGTGTTACATGAGGAAGTGTATGGCCTTTGGTACTTGTTAAGGTGGGTGTTGGGGAAAGCCCAGCTGCTGCGGCAGCAGCTGAGAGCATAAAGCTGCATTTGTTAATCTCTTCCAGATTTGGTCTTTATTTCCTCTCAGCTGTGCAGCAGTAGCATCCACCTCTGTGAGCATCAGGGGTCCCTCTTGTTCAGCCAGGTTTCTCTGTGCCTGCAGCACAGGTGTAGAAAGCAGGGAGCCAGTCTTCTCAGACACTTCCATTGTAATTCAGGTCTTGAGTTGTTGCTTTGGAAGGGAAAACCAGGCTTATATCAGCACTAATCTTAGAGGAGAAATGATTAAAAACAAAAAAGAAAAAAAAAAAACAAACAAAAAATCCACCAGGTTGTAAAGAAACCACAGGTAACATGTTTGAGGCAGGTACGCCAGGGGTTCTGTTTAGTCTTTCAAAACCTGTTAGTCACAAGTCTCACAATGTTATTTTCTATGGAAGAGGAAAGCTCCTGCTTGGCCCTGTGCAGTAGTTTCCTCCTGTGGCAGACACCACTGCTTGCTTTGACTTGGTGCATGACCTCGAAGCCAAAGAGCTCCTCTCCTGAACTTACTCTGCAGTTCCCTGTGGGGCAGCAGTGACTGACAAATACATCAGGGAAACAAAGTGAAGGTACCTGGGATCACTTCGGTTTTGGGTCTGATGGGAGAGGGAGCAGGTGGGTTTTTTTGGTTTTTTTTTAACAACAAGTGCATTTTAAGTTTTATTGTTCCGGACTTGCACATTTAAAAAGTTTTCTGATTTCTTCTTTCTGTGCCCTTAGACAACCAGATAAATCAGTGATAAAGTGTGGCCAGTTTTGCTCCAAGTTAAAATTATTTTTTCCCCAGTTAAAGGAACCAAAAGTGCCATTTCAAAAGCAGAAGGGGAAGTGAGAAATTTTCTGCTTCTTACAGAAAACTGCATAGAACTAAATTGTCTGACTTTACTGGCAGCACTGCAGGTAAATTTATTTCTTATTCAAAAAATGATTTTAAGTGGGTCTTACTATGACTATTACAAACTCCTGCCAGAAGGTAGTGAGGACGCAGCCAGAACATGTGAGTTTGGGGTTTGTTTGGTTGGGTTTGTTGTTTTTTTTTTTCCTTTTTTCTACATGCTTCTTGTTTAAACAGTGCTCCTCGTTTGGAGGTGAGGGGAGTCTTCTTTGGAGAAGGAGATGCTTTTCCGAAGCCCATTTGTGGCCACTGGTGTTTAGCTTTTCATTCTGTCCCACAATTAGGGCAGACCCCAAACCAGAGAGGATTTAACACTACAGGGAGTAGTTTCTCTTGGACATTTTTGTAATGTGCTGGTGGGTTTTAAACTTTTTTTTTTTTTTTGCAATTATAAGCTATTTTTCCTTCCAAATTCTTTTTCTCCTGCAATTGAAAAAAAAAATACCCACTATGAAGACTGACAAAACCAGTGTTATGTTGCAGGGGTGATCACCCACTAATACCATGACCCAATGAGTCACAAGTTTTGTCTAGTTTCAAAAAGTTTAAGACACTAAACTGCAACTGAGGTGCCAACACATGGTTATCCCTCACACTGCAAATTAAATTAATTGCCACCAGCATGGGAAAGACAGTGATGT